GTCTGTGTGCATTGAATTTATTTAATACACGAGTTTCACAATTTGAGTTGAATTACTGAAATAAATGAACTTTTCCACGACATTCTAATTTATTGAGATGCACCTGTATATAGTATATGATTTTATATAAGGAAATACTTTTCATATATATATCATGTGTACATCTATTGCTAGTACATACTGTACATGCATACATACAGTATGTATACATATATGAATGTATGTGGTTATACAGTATACACAAACACAAGTTTTTAATGTTTTTTAACATGGCTGGCTTAAAATGAACCCACAATAGGTTATAAATAAAAAATCAGACACATAATTACTAGAGGCATGAGCAATAATAAAAAAAGGTGAACATTTATTAATAAGCTATTTAAAATGTTTATTATTTAATTATTATTTTTATTAATAATTAAGAACTTATTAAGAAATGTTCATTTATTGAACATATTAATAAATGTTAATTTCCAACCTACTTTGGGTTCATTTTAAGCAAGTTAATTTTTTTTAGCAATAGCTGAGTTAAATAAAACTACCCAGAAGGCTGGGCCAAAACAATCGCTGGGTTTGTGTTTAACTCACCATTTTTTAGAGAGAGAGAGAGTGTGTGTGTGTGTGTGTGTGTGTGTGTGTGTGTACTTGTTTATGCTACACTGTGGGGACCAAATGTCCCCACAAGGATAGTAAATCCTGAAATTTTTGACATTGTGGGGACTGGCATGCGTTCCCCACGAGGGGGAAAAAAAAATAGATGTGTTAGATAAATTATGTTTATCTGAAAGTGTAACAATGCAAACGTTTTCTGTAAGGGGTAGGTTTAGGGTTAGGGGATAGAAAATATTGTTTGGTTAGTATAAAAGTAATAGAAGTATATAGAAAGTCCCCACAATTCACAGAAACAAACGTGTGGGTGTGTGTGTGTGTGTGTGTGTTCTTTAACTCTTTTCGAATATAGATAGATACTGTTTTTCTTTTTCACATGTACTATCTGTTGTTTACAATAAAATTTGACATAAATGTTAAAACCCAGCCTCAAATAACCCCTTTGATTTGTCTCCCCTAATTAAAATTTGACAGCAGCATGGAGGAACCATGTCTAGAATAGAGCACGTACATAATTGATGCAACATAATCTAAAATGTGGTGCACGTTCTATAAAAAGCCAGTGTGACGTGCAGCCCTAAGCCAGTCCACCCGTTTGCAGCTGTAAGCCTGAATTGTTGAACAGCCACCACCCTTCATACTGTGAACTTTGTTGATTCCAGAGTGGCTCAGGATTTGGAGGCTTTGAGCTCTGGGGAAAATCATCACAGCGGAGCACATTGCCTGTCTCTTTATTTAATCACATAGTATGTCTCACATTCATGTGCTCGGGCTTTTCAGAAATGTGTTAAAGAATTCTTTCTCTTATAGCTTCTAAGTAATTACGGTAGTAATTACACAACCGTAGTTGACCATGGCTCTAGTACATTAGCTTTTTCAGTGAAATAATGTTTTTATCTGCGTGAATGAGCTCTCTTTTTCTTATACACTGGGATTTAGTTTGTCTCAGTGTAAGATCCAGCTTGGAAACATAGAGCTGTGATCATTGCCTCATTGTGCTATTCTCACCATGGACCTGAATCATGAGGACACAGTTGCCTGGCGACCTGCTGATGGGAAATATCTGCTAAAATATTAACAGGGGAGTTGTTTTTCCTCTAGACCTTCTAGAACGGTGTTTCTCAACCAGGGGTCCGTGGACCCCTAGTGGTCCTTGCCGTAAGGCCAGGGGGTCCATATAAAGTATGCATTTTTGTATAAATTTAGTATACTTTGACATGTTCCCATGAAAGAAAAATCCAATATAGCTGATGATATGGCCAAATACTGGACAAGTCAGCTAACTTGAATTATACTTGACTGTATTTGGTCCTCACAAAGACACACAAATGATACATATATGAGTCAATTTTGTTCTGGGGGTCCTTGAGGATGGTTCTGAATTGGACTGGGGTCCGGTACGCCAAAAGGTTGAGATCCACTGTTCTATAACATCTCATACAAGGCGTATACGTGCTAATACTGTATAGATTTCAATCAGTAAGGAAAAAAACATTAAGGCTGCTTTGCCTTGGCATATTACATCACCTGTTGGGAATCGTCCAGCTTTGGTGCTGTATGGATGATTTATTTTCGTCAGTATGATTAGATAATTCTTGCCTTTTGATGGAAGAGTACTGGATCTTATTGCATTTGTGTAGTCTGTTACCCACTTCTAACACACTCCAAGGAAATAAACAAGGGTGATGGGCTTCTGTTTGCTTTCACTGAACATGAGATTAATGTGTTTTTCCAAGTCAATTTGTTGTTTTATCTTCCAGGTCCTACATGTCTCATCTCATTGATTTTACTCTTTGCCACCTCACAAACAGGTCATTATGTATTCGTTTGCTTGTGTTTGTGTCAGTGTGTTTGTTTTGTCAGGAGTAATCTGGACAGAGGAAATGGGCCATTTCATTTGGACATTTGTTTCAGGGAATAGAAGAAGAGAGCTGCGGTGTTGATATAAGACTTGCTGTTGTTGGGTGGAGGTGTTTTCAGTGATTGGAAGTGTTAAAGGAATAGTTCATGAAGGATTGGAAATTTTGTTGTTTACTCAACTGTTTCAGTTCTATGCAGCTCTTATTTTGCATACGCTGAAAATATTTTGTTACCAAGGGCTGCCAAAAAGCCCTATAAAAGTAGTCCAAACAATTTATGTGTGACATTATGAATCCTCACGATGGGTTAGCTTAAACTGTTACTTCTAAAAATCTTTCCCTCATATCAAATCTCATTTGCTTTTGCCCATATTCAAACTTGACGCATGAACATGTTCCATGCCGCATTTGATGTCAATGACAGGAATGCCATTGATATTCACATGCAGTATTTCATCAACAAAATCAGTCATGAAAATTTTTGTTGCAAATGCAAAATCTGAACTGAAAAGATGCATCAAAAGATGATAACTAAACAAGTTTAATAAAAAAGTATATATAATTTTCTGGTGACTATAATTATAAGCTATTATCTTAGTCAAACTGACTAAAAAAGAATGAATATTACATGACTGTCAGACTCTGTTCCATGTTTTGTGTTTTGCTCCCCACGTGTTCCATGTCCTGGTTTTCCCATGTGTTATGTTTATGCCCTTTTTTGGTCCTTCTCGTTCCTGTCGTTGTTATGATTATTTAATGTGTTTCCAGGTGTTCCCCATTTAGTTCTATTGATCCCATGTGTGTCCCATTAGCTCCCTTATTATTAAGCTGTGTGTGTTTCCATGTTTCCTCGTCCGGTGTTGTTTATGTCAGCCTCCTCAGCTACGTGTGTTTTCCTGGTTTCCTTGATGTCATTAAAA